CATGCGCACCGACTCTCCACCCCGCGCCGGCTCAGACGTGGAAGCCGTTGGCCAGCTCCAGGAGGTGGTCCGCCGCCTCCGTCGTGGCATATTCGAGGTCCTGCGCCGACCGGGCGAAGATGGAGAGTATCTCGTCGGTTGGCGTGGAGACCCTGTGCCATCCCTCGGCCGTCGCCCTGCTGAAGTCGTCTCTGGAGACTGCGTCGGCGACGTTGGCCTTGGAGGGAACTCGCTCAAACTCGACGAACCAACCTTGGTGCGCCGCAAGCGTCCAGAAGGCTGAAATCATGCCGTTCACCGCGGCGTCTTTCCCGTATCCCTTTGTAAGGGCTGCCTGTCCGGCGGTATTGTCGATGAAGGCGACGATGGCCGGCGGCAGACGGGCGCCGAAGGTGACGAAGGCGACGAGCTGGGCCAGCACTTCGAGCATGTAAATGTAGGCCTTCCTCGTCGAGAAGAGCTTGACAAACCATTCCGGCGCGACGCCGTGGTCGAAGAAGACCTGGTCGCCGATTCGTAGCACATATCCCCATCCATTCGCCGCTTTCTTCGTCGGACGTACCCCCTGGGGTACGTGGCCAGCCTTGTGCCTGGTCTCCCCGTCGGTGAAGAAGGCGTCGGCGTACAGGATCGCGACCTCCATCTCCTTGGCGTCGAACGGGATGAATCTGGGGCGGATCGTCGGCAAGATCCTGGCCAAGGAACGTAGGGCCGCCGAGAGACCGTCGGACAGGGAGTCCGCCGTCCATGCCGCTGTGTCGGCCGCACGGGCGTAGATCGCTTTCGTCGCGGCCCTTGCGACGGATCCGAATGCCGCTTGTGTCAAGAATGACACTCGTCCGGCGAGCTTGGCAGCCTCGGCGGGTGACAGTGTATCCTGGTCGAGTGCCCGGCGGATCTGTTCCATGATCTTTTCTACCCGGACCGTCGTCGGTTTGAGGGTGACTCCCCGTGCGTCGACCTGGAACTCCACGCCCTGCACAATGTGGTTCTTCGCCGGGTGCTGTGCCTTCGACGCCTTGGTGAGGAAGCCCAGCGCCGAGAAGAGGTCCTGGAACGAGACCATCGCCGACTCGCCGAAGAGGGCGTCGTCGAGGCCGTTAAAGTCGTCCACGTAGTGACCCGTCGCCAGGAGCAGCAATCCCCTGAGCAGCTGCTGAAGTGCGTCGGCTCCCCTGTTAAAATTCCAGACGGACGCCGTAGCGCCGAAATTCATGGCCAGGTGGTACCAAAAGGTCACGCCGTGCTTGGTCGAGAGGAAGGTGCCGCACTCCGCCGGTCGTCGAACCGGCCACTGGCGGTAAGCGTTGAGCAGGTCGTTGCCAAAGACCACGACGTCGGGGGTGTCCTGAACCATGCGTCGTGCCAGGTCGACGAAGCTGCCGATGAAGTGGTGCGTCGGCACGTCGTCCACCGACACCGTGGCGTTATGCCCGCTGCGACGCCAGTCCTCGGCACGTCGTACCTTTAGGTCGCCTTTCTCGTCGGTCTGGCAGACTGGAAAGGATCCGGCCAAGAAGTGCTCGCCGGGCGGCGGTTCGACCAGGGTGTCCACCTCGATCTGGTCGGGCACCGCCGTGGCCTTGGTGTGGAGCCATGTCGGCGCTGTCGTTGGGCCGATGACTCTGCCCAGCTTCTTCTCGGCGATGAGCTCCTGGAGCAGCTGATCGGCGAATTCACCGCCGTCGTGCTGGGAAACCTTGCGGCGGACGTACTCGGCGTTGGTCCGGCGGAAGGTGTCCATGTCCGTCGGGTGCTGGTAGCGTCCGTCGTCTCTTTTCCTCCATCCTGGTCCTGGCCGGATGTCGCCGATCATCTGGAAGCCCTCTGTCATGTCGTGTTCGAGGGCGTCGATGTCGGGGTAGTCGACGAGGCGGAGCAGCTGTATGAAGACAAGCACCTGCGTCGGGGCCGGCTTATCCGGCGTCGAGTACGTAGCTCTGACCCATGATGATCTGGCGGCGAGCCACTCCCTGGTCTCGTCGGCTGTGTCCTCGATCATGGTGCGGACCTCGTCGACAACTTCCCTTCGGATCCTGACCAGGTCGTGGCGCCAAGTTCGACGAATGACCAGGAGTCGTTCCCACGCCGGCTCCAGTGGGGCGTCGTCCGCCAGCGGGTGTGACATCGACCATGATGCGTTCCAGTGCGCCTGCTCGTCGAGGTCCTGGATGTCTGCCACGCCGGGCCGCGGCGGGGCTGGTGCCATGATCGGACCGCCGGGTCCCCACAACGACGCCACCCACTGTAACGTCGATCGGCGAGGGGATCTTGGTACTGGGGTCGCCGTCGTCGGTGCCGTTGCCGTGAAGACCAACAGCGCCATTAGAAGACGTCGTGCGACTCCCCAGTGCCAGCCGTTGCCGATGAGGCGATGTCGAGTGCGGTCGTCGAGTGCTCCGGCGGTGGATCTCGCCGTGTAGTCGGCCGGCATGTGGTGAAGCTGCTCTTTCACCTTCGGCGGCAGTAGGTGTAGTCGACCTTGGTCGTCGGTCATCATGGCGTCTCTGGCGTAGTGCCACGGCGCAAATTGCCGTCCGCCAGTGAGCCACCGCTGGTGGGTGTCTGACGTGATCTTCCCTCTCGTCGACCTTGGTGCCGCTCTGCCTCCCTCGTCGGCTGCTGGTGTCGTCGCACATGGTAGCCTGACCCTGCCACTGGCGACGGAGTCCGAGAACTTGAGGCCGTCGAGGTCGAAGTCGTCGGATGCTGCCCTGGGAGAGTCCAGCCGCAGTCTGTTCCAGCGACGGTGTAGAGCCCATGTCCAGTGTTCTCCCGTCGAGGGGTCGCGAGGCAGCTCCTCCCAGTCGATCGTCGACCACCAGAGGCGGGACCTCCCGATCCACCCGAAGTCGGCGGCGTCGGTGAGGATGGGTTCGCACTCCAGTGCCTTGGTGGCCGCCGCTGCGTCTGCCTGCGTCATCTCGACGTTTTCGACCAATTTCCCAAGCCGTCGAGGTGCGATCAGCGGTGTCAGCTCAGCGACGTACTCGGCCGTAAAGTTGAAGAGGTAGCCTCTATCACCGCCGTGACCCGCTCTGTCGCCGATTCTGGAGAAATCTTGGCACGGCGGAGCGGCGAGGAATAGGATGATGCACTGGGCGTCGGGGTCGACCGCTTCGATGTCCTTGGCCAGGGCCTTCGGCGTGTCCTCCGTGATGTCGCCGCGGTGCCGGACGTCGGGGATGTGGTAGTCAATCACCTGGATCGCCGCCCGGTCCACCTCCCATGAGAAGACCGCTCTGGGCTGGCCCACCAGGTCCCACACCAGCCACGGGCCTGCGCCGACACCGTCGAACGCCGACAGCACGATCACCTCGTCGCCTTTAGGTCGCCGGCCGGAGAGCTTCACTTTCTTGGTCGGTTGGTCGGGTACCCCGTCGTCAGCGGGGGCGCTCGACGGGGCCCCGTGCTGTCCCTAGCGGCGGTTGCCGCGGCCTTGGCCGTTGCCGCGCCACGGGCGTTGGCCTTCTGACTGGCTGGACTGTCCGCCGTTGCCGCCGTGCCACCACTGTTGGTTCTTTCCGTCGGTCTTCTGCTGCCACCAGCCGGCGTTGGTGTCCTGCTCGTTCTTCTTGCCGCCGCCCTGGGATTGATCTTTGCCGCCGCGTCCGCGCCCTCGGCCACGGCCCCCTTGACGTCGTCTTTTGCGGCCACCGCGACCGCCGCCTCCGGTCCATGCCTGCTGGTCGTCGGCGTCCTCCTCCTGGCCGTTGGGGGCGTCGGTGCGGTCGGCGATCTCCTTCTCGGATCTCTTGGTCGGGTGCGGCGTGGATAGAAGGATCTCCTGCCACGTGGCCACGTCGTCCATAATCTCCTTGGTGGCCTCGCCGAAGGACTTGTTGTTCCTGAGTGCCATCGCCAGGTTCCACGACGTCCGCTGCCAGTATGCCTGGAGGGCTGCGACGTGATTGGACTTATGCCTGGCGCGGGCGACGAACCAGTCGACATATGTCATGACGTCGGTCTCCTCGCCGATGCCCAGCAGGATCCATGCCCACCGGGCGGCGTTGGCTCCGTCGATAGTCGAGAAGAGGCCCTTGGGTACCCACTCCGTCGGCTCCTCCTGGAGCAGGAGGCCATGTTCCAGCCGCAGCGCCTTGGAGCTGGCGGCGGACGTCGACCTGGACAGCGCCAAAGGGTTCAAGGTCCGAGCCGCCGTCCAGGTGCGTCGTGACACGATCTCGCCGACGGTAACCGGCGTATACATCTTGGAGGTGGTGTGCTCGAACCACATCCTGGCCAGCACCTCCTCGGCGCCAAGAAGCTCATGTGCTGGGAAGGTCCGCCGTTTCCCGTCGAGGCGCCGTTCCTCATAGATGTTGACCTGCTGGTTCCACGCCGAGAAGGTCTTGGGAGGCCTGTCAGGAATAGCCGGCGTGGCCGTCGTTGGCGGCGCCGCCGCCGGCGCAGGCATGGCAGCCGGGGCTGGGACCGGCGACGACGCAGCTGCCGTCCATTGGCGTGTGGCCTCGACGAAGAGGTGGGTCATGATCGCCGTGGCCACGTCGTCCTGCCCGTCCTCCACCTTGTGATCGGTGCCGTCGATGCGGGTGCCGGTGATGTACGGGTGGATGATGTGCGTCGTGAACCTCTCGACGTCCTTGGCGATCAGGGCCAATGTGGGCGTCGTGGTGATCTTCCGGGCCGTGATGTAGTTCTTGATGCTGTCGTTGGCGCCGGCCGCGGCGAGGAGGTCGTCCAGCTGCACCATAGAGGCCGCGACCGTCGGGAGTGCCATGGCAAACAGCACCTACGGCGTCCTAGGTCGGTTTCCGTGCTCGATAGAAAAAGGGGGGCTACGGGTGAGACATCCGTCGGTAAGTTCCGGGCGCGAGCCCTCGACGGTGATCTGATCTGGGCTGTGTGTGGTTTTCCTGGGTCGTCGTCCAGTTGGTGCCATAGCCGTCGGGGCCGCACACGGCTATTGCCGGCGACCCCTCGGCGGAAAATGGTGACGGCGATCCGTCGGTCAAGCCCGGCGTCGCTCAGTCGGAGTCCGACGTCGCTCCGCTAGTGGAGGACGAGGAGCTCGACGACGAGTCGATCGCCTCCGGTGCCTCAACGTCGACGGTTTCCGTCGGGAAGCACTTGCGGCATAAGGCCGGATCCGGCGGCAGCTCGGACAGGCGAAAGAACTGTCGCACGCCGTAAGGCCAGCCACACTTGGCCTGCCAGTCCGACCTCTCTGTCGTCGCTTCGTCGACCCCCGGCTTGTGCACCATTTTGGTGCGGCAGTTCATGACATACCGGGGCGCCGAATCGCCGATCGCGTCGGCTACTGGCATCCTGGCGGGTTCTGGCACGAACTCCACGCCGGGCACCTCTGCCGCGAAGTCGACGTTGGGCACCATCTGCTGCGAGGCCGGCACCGCCGTATCGGCGTGCCCGGCTGCGTTCCCCGTCGGCAACAAGTCCACGATGGCCGGCGGCGTCGGTGTCGCCAGGGGCTGGGCCGGCGTCGTTGTCGACGCACTCGGCGCTGCCAAGGCCTGGGCTGGAACGCCGGCTGCCACGGCGAGGGGTGCCTGTTGAACATACCGTTCGACGGCGGTGGAGGCCCATCGGCCGAGCAGCTGGATCACGGCGACCGGGACCCCCCTCATCGCCAGGAAGGTCGCACCTGCCACTCTGGCGGCGTGGCCGCCGAAGATCAAGCGGCGCTTGCCCTGTTCGTCGAGGTACACCGTCTCGAAGCCGGCGGCGTCCAGCACCAGCCGAAACATCTCGGCTGACTCCGCCTTGGATCTCTGCACCGTCGGTCTGGTCGGAAACAGGAAGTCGGCCGGCGTCGCAGCCGCGGATGCCTGGATCCGCCGAAGGTGGCGGTGTGCGGCGCATCTTGGGCAAAGTGGGTGGGCCGTCGAAGTGCAAACGCACCGGAATGTGCGTCGTGTGAGATCGGCCTGCCCCCCCTGCGCCGTTTTGTGCAGGGGTATGTCGAGCGACACCGCCGACAAGGTCACGGCGAGATCTCTGACCCGGGCCGCCGCGAGCTCCACCTCCCTCAGCATAAACCAAGTAGCGACGATAACGACATCGACGGCGTGAGCAACCAAGCCGGCGTTGAAGGGCCCGAACGGTGCCGTGTCGTCGACCAACTTGGTGAGCTCGTCGAGGTCGAATGCCTGTTTGAGCCTGGACCCTGGCAGGCCCCTCGCCGCTGCCTTGGTCAGGGTCTTGACCACCCGTCGGAGTCCAGGGGTGACCGGCGTGTGGAGGGTGTTCTCCTGATGCCATACCACCGCGTCGAGGTACAGCCCAGTCGACCTGTAGCCGGCGATCCGCATGGCCCCGGCGATGGTGTGAAGCTTGTTGGCGTCGAGCGGGAAGAGGGGAAACTGGCCTCTGTCGGCCAGGGCGCTCACCGTCCTCACTCGCGACTCCATGGCCCGGCGGGTCGACGATGCCAGCAGATTGGCGTCGATGGCGGCGAGGGTGTCCTGGCGTCGCCCGGGGTCCATGGCCTCCAAAGCCGCCGTCAATGATGCCCGGGGTAGGGTCCTTCTGTGCGGTACGTCGTGCCTGGGTGGCCTGGTCGCCGTTGGTTCTGGCTGCGTCGGCGGCACCGGCGCAAGGATCTGTAGCAAGAGGCCCTCGGGCACGCCGTTCTCCAAAAGGACGGCGAAGGAGTCCCTCACGGCCGGCGTGTTGATCGCGCCGAACCTGGCCAAGGTAGCGATATAGGCCGAACCGCCTGCCGAGGCGACGTCGCGAAAGAAGTCGGCAACAGTCGCGGAGGGTCCCGACGATGCGGCTTGTTGGTTCATGACCGGCGCCCTGAGTCGGGGGATGCAGGGGTTAGTGCAAGTCGGCGTCTCGAGCCAGAGCAGAAGAGGCTGCGGCGGAAGCAGAAAAGGCAACGGCGACGACCGAAAACGAACGAAGAGAGAGAGAGAAGCCGACAGCGACGGCAGGCGCGACGGACGAGGCAACAGGTGCACGGCTCTCTTTTTGTCGGGTGCGTCGGGCTCCGCCAAAAGGCACCGTGCGGCGTGACCGCCGAGATTAAGCAACTCTGGCAACGACGAAGTCGTCGAAAAAGTAAGTAGTACAGGGCGGCGGTGGGCTCTGATCCTGCCCCCGCCGCCGTCGACTGCCTCGATCAGCGGTGCCGACCCGATGGCCGAAGCCGGGTGACAGGGGCACCCGCTGGCGTCGCAAAAGATCAGTCCTGTGCGCCGACCATGCCGTGGCATGCGGCGCACTCGTGACCGATATGGTCACGGCCGTTGCCCTCCACGACGGGACGTAGACAGCGGCCTAGGCCCGGCGCGTCTACGTCGTAAAGGTCGTCGAGATGAGGGCAATGCGGCGACGTGCAAGGGTGCGAGCACCAACCAAGCACACGTCGGCCGGCCTCCTGGCTTTGCCAAGGGATCCGGGCGCCGCGTGTGTTGGCGGGTAGCGTCGAGCAGAACCAGTATGCACAGTAGGTGGGCGCCGAGGTCGGCGGGGGTTTCGGCTTGTGCCCGTCGATGCCCTGCCTGTCCAGGTTCTCCTCGGCGATCACGTCGTTCAAGGTCCGCCTGAGCAAGTGCTTGACCGACTTCGGCGGGTCGTCGACGGCTCGGGCGCCTCGGCGATGCATGGCCCGCTTGTGCTGCCGATAGTCGTCGGTCATGTTGATCTCTATCTGGCGGATCCTCTCGTCGCTCAGGTGCTCGCGGAACCCCGCCGCCGTCTTGGACCTGGATCGTGCCCCCGTCGGTGTCGTCGTCCTGGGTGTGGTCGAAGGCCCGGCGTTCGTCGAGGAACCGGCGGGCTGGTCTGCTGGCCTTGCGCCCGGCGGGAACATCCAATCCGGGCGCTCTGCCGCCACCGCCGGGGGGGTCGGCGCTCTCGTGGTGGATGCCCTCGGACTCGGCGGTGTGGACTGCCATGGCGTAGAAGCCGCCGAGAGCGGCGGGAAGCTGGACCTGGACGGAGGTGCGTCGACCACTGGAGGAGGCGGCGGCGGGTCCATGGTCGGCCGCCCGCCTCGTTGCGTCGATCTCCCTCTGGCTGCCGATGTCTGGCTCCCGGCCGTCGAGTGGGCGTCGTCGTCCTGTCGGGGGCCCACCTGCCGAAGCAGTGACGCGGCGATGTTGATGACTTCTTCGGCGCCCCCCCCGCCGATCGTCGAAGCCGGCGTCTGGATGCCAGTGGCGTCGGCCGGTCGTCGTGCCCCCTCTGGCGGGGCCCTCACCCGATGACCAGCCGCGTCGATGTAGTATGCCGGCGTGGCCGTGCCAGAGGGCATCGCCGACTGGGCTTCCATTGCGGCGAGACCCGGGAACCCCGTTATGGTCGGCGACGCCGTGGTCTCGGGCTCCCTCGCCTCCGTCGGGTCCAAGAAGGCCGCCGCAGTCCTGGTAGCCGACGTCGTGGGGGCGTCGAGGAAGACCGTGCCCGACACCTGGTCGTCGTCCCTTGCCGCGGTGGGCTGCGGCGGCTGCCAGTTCACCTGGTGTGCCCACGCCGTGGGCGGCGCCCCGACGTTCTGCTGCAGGATGGTCGCCGCCGATGAGCTCCCGGGACCCGTCGGTGGAGGCGGCGTAGTTGATGCCACCGTCGATGTCCTGGGACCCGTCGAGCTGGGCGTCATAGATCCATGTCCCGGCGTGGCAGAGGTGGTCGGCGGCGGCCTTGGAGCTGCCTTCACCATCACCGGCGTCCCCTCCGTCGTGGCCCGTTGCGGGAACAGCCTCCCCATGTAGGTCCGGCGTTCCTCGTCGGTAGGCGGGGAAGTCGGTGGAACCACGGCCGTCACGGCGAGGAGCTCGGCGAGGGAGGTCCGGTCCTCCATGTTCAGGCTCGCCGCCAGCTCAGCCCAAGCGCCGAAGCCACCGTCGCGTCCCTTCCGGAGGACATTGCGAAGTTCTCGCACTGCGACGTGCACTCCGGCTTCTGGTGCGACCGTCGGCTGAGGTTGTTGCGGCGGTGCCTTCCTCAGCATCGGCTGCGCCGACGACGAAGCTGCCCCGGGATTCGTCGACATGGCGTCGAGAGTGATGATCAGAAATCTAAAATCTTTGAACTCGTCGAGCCAGAGTGCTAGCGACGGCCGTCGTTAACGGTTGTTACTGCACACACACGTGTGTTTCACCACACACCCACACAGGCCCACACACCGTCACAGACATGCGGAGGCTTCGGGCTTCGGCCTCCTTCTCGCCGTGCGCGCGCATGCTCGCCAACTCCTGCTCGTAGCTCTGCCTGGCAATCCAGCTGGACCTTACAAGGCGTGGCACAATCCTGCCTGCAGACCTGCCAGTCCCCACGGTGATTCAGACAGCGGCTCTTCGGCTTCTAAAGCACGCCGTGCAGCAGCTTCCTCGGGCACATCCGGCACTTGGCTGGCCTTTCACGTAGAATCCTGTTGAAATCCAGTTTAGGGCCCGACTGCACGGAGCTCGGCTGAATTGAACCGGTGGCCGGCGTCCAGGCTTCGTGCTTCCTCTCTTTTGCGCAGAAGCATCGTGTGAGGAAGGGGAGAAAAGGAGAGGGGAAGGCGAACCAGGGCGGAAAGCTCGCTCCTGCTTCTGCTTAGCTTCCTCCTGCCCACAGGTCATCTTGGTTGGGAGCTTTCCAGACACACCGGCCAGAATGTGCCTGCAGCTCGTGAGCCGTCCTCTGTGCAATTGCCTCCCTGGCTTCGTAGCCATGCACGGCTGCACGGGCCGCAGCCCGCACCTGGAACGAGAGGGTCGCTGCTTGCGAATCCAGTCAGGGACGACACAGAAGTCGACATGGAATGCAATTCACACAAGTCCGAGCCTCGTCTGCCGCAACGACAAGCTCTTCGCAGGTTTCCTCCTGCGAAATCCCTATGCGTCAACACGACCTGCATGTACCTAAAGCATGCTTTCGGCACTCTCGCCTCTGAGCGTCGAGATTCTTCGAGCATCCGCGACTCAACCTTTCCGATGCAGGCAGCACATGCAGCAACCCAAGCAGCCTGTTCCACAGCCAGAACTGAAAACAGCAAGTGTCACCGCCCTTTTGCACGACAGCCGACTCGATACCCTCATCCGAATCAGAGGCTCTTTACCGTGCCAAACTGTCACCCAAGATCGACAGACGTCATCCTCACCGCTTTCCTCGGACTGGAAAACCAAAACTGGAGCTGCCAAGTAACATCAAGAAACGCTACTGCAGAAAGCAAAACAATCGCGGTTGATCTGCGCTGCAAAGCCAAATCTGAAGTCGCGCTTTGGGAGGCACGTGCGACAACCAAGCCTCCAAGGAGACCACCTCCACCAAAGGCACCACGAGCAGCAAGACTTGCCCGTGCTGACTAGCGATATCCAGCGATCATGACTGCAATCATGGCAACGCCTGCACATCCCTTCCTGATCTGTTGGTCAAGTTCTCCTGCACGGCTGATACCTTGCTCGAAAGACGAGATTCTCCCGTTCATAGATTTCACACGACTTGCATGTCAAGTTGTGCTACTCAAGTCACGGCTTCGATGAGGACTGGCCCGACGTCTGTGCAAAGACTTGGAGCTGGCAGAATGGTCATGGCCACAGGCTTGCCGATGGCTCCTGCACGCTTTCTTAACTCGCACCGCCAAAGAGGCAGAGCTATAGTCATTGCTCCTGCGACTTGCTCCATGTGCGCCGCAGGAGCTACATGAAACTGCGAGTACACGGGGACATCGAAGACTGCGCCGGCCTCCGACCCGAACACGAACACAGCAAACACGAGACTCACATCGCGGTTCATCTTATCGCCTCAGCTTCTGCTGCGCTCACTGTTCGAGGCCGCTGGCTCGCTTGGGCCTGTCGTCGCTGCAAGGCCTGCACCGAATGAAGCAGAAGCTGCGGAACGCCCTCACAGCCATGGCCACGGTGCCTTCCATCGCAAACAGCCTGCATCTGCCTGAGCTGGCGAAAGCCTGGTTCTCATGCGTTCTGCAATTCTGCTGACTAACCAGTCAATGCTGCAATCGTCAACAGGCAGTCAAAGCGCGACTCAGCCGAACCACTTCCAAATCCGCGTGGTCAAACAGTCACTGCTGAACGGCTCAACTGTGCCCACGGCCCACATGACCGGCAGGAGAGACGAGTTTGAGGGGTCCATGCTTGTGTCAAGCAACGGTAATGGTGGCACAACAACCCCATCGAAAGGCGGCATCGCTTTTGCAGCCACCTCTGCGCAAAATTGGTCGCACCAGAACTGTGCAGAAGCAGTTCTGATTCAAGGAAGATGACATTGAAGTCGAACACAGGCATGTGCTTCAGAGCGGCACACCATGCTGTCCCTGTCGACATGATCTGACCGTCTCGGTGACAAACCAGGCTCAGCTCCAGCATACCTCAGCTGAGACCAGTGCTGCTGCAGATTGCTGCAGGTGCACTACATACATCGTGAGCTAATCATTCATCCAGCGGCGACGATCATAAACACCTGAGCAGCCATGACATCAAACAAAATCATAAACAACCTCTGCTCTGCACATTGTCACGCACCACCCGTGAACCTTGCAATGCCGTCTGGATGACAAAGTCGGCAGAGTTGCCATCCTGTTCCTCTTGAAGGCCTGCGGCAATTTTGGTTGATGCAGAAACTTCCTTGTGCGAGCGACAAAGCCTGTTGCAAGATGATCGAGTCAGCCAGGATCAGCCCCGACCCGCAACAGCAACCCACCTCTTTCATGCAGGTCCAGCTCGACATGCCAAAGCGCGGCGGACACCGGAGGGCGGAGGAACGGGCTGCCTCGCAGGGCATAGGGCCTGCAGACACTGCAAGGAATTCAAGCACCTGACGGCTAGAAGTTCCCTTGATTCTCCAGATCGCGCCTGACACTGTTGGACCAGTAACCTCAGAACTTGCCACCGCTTGCAGGTGTCAGTTGCTGTGAAGGCTTGCTGCCCAGGGGCACGCGAGCTCGACTGCATTGCTGGCGGATGCGCCAGCGATGCTAGACAACGGTCGCGCTACAACGAGGTCCGGTGACAATCTGCGAGAGAATGTGGTCGGTCTGCAACCTCAAATTTATCATGCCCCCAAGCACTCAGGCCAGAATCGGAAATGAAGGCGACTCCAACAATGTGACCCAATGGACCTGAAGACGGCGGCAAGTCTGCCGAAGACTCTGGCGACAGCTTCGCGCCCCTGTGTGATGCCGTGGGAACGTCATGGGCCGTGAAACCATTCGTTCAACTGCATTGCCTCCGGTCTTCTGTGAGCACGGTCTCCGTCGGCCTTGGATGAAGAGCTCAAGGACAGCAGCTGTCAACGCAGATTCGGAATACCTTTACTTCGCTGAGTCGCCAGGGGCATACTCATTAAATCGTCAAGATCTTAATGGCATACCATTGCATAACCTTTGTGCCCAAGAATCCTTTAGCTGGCTGAGCACGCAGCCAGATCAGCTTCCCGAACATGGCAGCTCCCATTGGAACGCAACGGGTCGCGCCGGCACCCCTGGCAGCTCACAGCCCGGCACAGCTCTGCATCGACATCAATGTACTTGGGATTCCGGAGGCTCGCTTTCAGCTCTCTCAGTTATCTTTCAAGTCACACCGGGACTGGGGATGAGCTCGACATGACATGTACACATGTACACTCGGTCACACACGAGACTGAACTACTGCTGCTGCCGAAAGTGCGAGCTTCTGCCAAGACCCTATGCTACCTGCTGACTGAATTGGCGAACTCCCCGACCAAAGGTTCGCAAACAGAGATGCCACTCTGTCAAGTATGAGTACTTCTCACGAAATTTGATTGCAAGGGACGCCTCGCAGGCATGTCAAACCGAGACCATGGCCACGCGGCAGTCTTTGCGGACGAAACAAACCGGGCAGTGTACGAGTTGCTGCGGCTGGCAAGCTGAATTGCATTTTGCTCGAGCTGAGATGTTGAAGCCGGCAATCAGGGAGTTTGATGAGGATCAGTCACAGCCCCCGCAGTGCAACAGCAGCATGGGCTCCATTCCGATCCCACCTGCAATTCCGCAGCCTTGTCGAGAAGCTCCTGTGGGAGTCAAGAACTGCGATGCGCCCCACGCAAATGCCCCTTCGCACCCAGCTTCCTGAGCATCAACCTCAAGAACTGCATCCTCCGCTCGCCAGCTCGAAATGGCAGTCTCCGCCTGCAGCGACGAAGAAACCAGGCTGTGCACAGAAAGACAAGGCGGTGAAGAAACACCTCGTATCTTGCTGCAGCAATCTCTTCACAGCAGGCTCGGATGCAACGGTCTTCTTCAGCAAGAGCCTTGGTGCTGCAGAGCATATGCAAGGAATAAGGGATCAGATTGGAAGTCGTGGTGGCTAAGGTCACAACAGCCTCCTCTTCTTCACCAGCGAGCCACTCATCATGGGCTATGCTGCGCTCAGCATTCAGCTTTGCAGCCAAGACCTGAAGACTCTTCTCTCCGGCAGAGAGGACGATGCCTCTGTCATGTCATGTCTGAGCCTCCTCATGCAAAGCCAGGGATCGCCGCTGCTGCAACTTCTCCGCGGCCTCCGGGTAGGGAGGTCGAGGCAACTCCACGACACGACGTGTGGTCTGCAGTGAACCTCGGCGGAAGCCTCAGATTGTTGCGCTGCACATCTGTGCATCTTCTCATCCTGCACCCACACTCGAGGAGCTTACGTGAGCTCTCATCGCAGACAATGGGATCGGCTGCTTGACAGACTGATGAGTTCATTTGCGTTTAAAGCAGTCATCAGTACATCACATGGCTAAGACGAGGAAAGTCGGCCTGCTCAGCAGCTTCTTCGGCTTGGCGTGTACTTTGTTCCGCTTGCTGCGTTAGCTCAAGAAGCTGCTGTAGGGCCTCGCTATGGGTGGATGGTAAGCAGCACAGCCCGCAAAAGCTATCTCGAGGCTGAAGCCCCAGATGTGTTCTTCGCCAGCTCTTTGCATTGCTCGGCGGCTTCATTGATCTGCTGCTCCAGTTGTTGTCGCAACATGCTGGCGGCCTCTCATCAAGCACAGGCATGCTCGGCATGCTCACCTCTCGATGTTTTTTGGGCCCTCTTTGCCTCCTCTTCTGTGACCTCGAAGGACAAGACCTCTTCTTCGATGTGAAGCCTGCAACTCATGATGTATCACCGCAAGGAAACAAGAGGCCGTCAAGCCAGCAGCATGCCTTTCTGCCAGGAGTTCACTCTCAGAGCACTCTGTTGATCGGAGCCGGTGTATGTCCTCCTGCAACTGCGGGGAGATGCGGTTCTCAGCACGCAGGAACCGTCTGGGGCATGTTCTGTGTGGTGCTGCCAATGCATGCTGAGTGGACAACTGGGAGAACATACATGAGGTGTGTACAGATGCCTTTCCGACGTGTTGATCGTTCTTCTATGTCATGCTTTGCTGATGCACGTTTCGATGATTTCAGCCTTGGTGTTCACCAGCTTGTCCAGGTGCGTGTGTGTGCATGGACGCGTGTCTGTGCGCGTGTGTGTTCACCTGCGTGTGCAGCAGTGCAGGAGTGCGGGCGTGCAAATGTGTCGACAGGTTCCGGAATCTTCTGGATCGACGTCGAGGAAAGTCGAAACAACTCACACCTCGCTGTCTTGGAATCCTCCCTGCTACATGCTGCGCTTGCTGGTCACAAGATCTCCTCCTCTTGACAAGTTCCTTTGCCTTGCACGGCCTCAAGTGCCTGAGACGCAAGCACTGGCAAAACATAGTGGGAAGAGTGCTACGACTAGACTACACACACCAGCGGCCGGCCAGCCTTCTCACATTCGTGCTGCACCTGCTTCTCCTCGGATCGAACGCTTCTCAGCCTGGTGCGGAGCTCCTCCCCAAGCTCCGTTGCCTTCAAGCGGCGGCACATCATCTGCTACCCTATCTTGCACACGACCTGAATCCCAACAATCTCAGACGACTACCAGCACTTCTCCAACCGCAGCTGCAGCTGCAGCACTTTCGAGGGCCTCTTCAACCTGCAGCATTCAAAACTGGTGCATCATGTTCAAACGCTGGCATGATTGCAGGCAAAGGAGGTTTACATTGACATCGAAGACGACAAGCCCAGGCTTGTCTTGCAGGCCTCGAGGTTCTGCTCTTCCCTCATTGAGCGGATGTTTGCCTCCTCGCTCTTCCAAGCATCGGCCTATCGCACCAGGGACTTGCGGCATTGCGGCTTGCGCCAGTATCGGAGCTCTGCTAGGCTAAGCTCCTGACCACGGCCGCCTCCAAACGCTGCACGTTGACTGCGTGACCAAGACTGCACTTCACATCCCAGCTCTAGCCTCGGCTTTCTCAAGAATCGCGGATTTCCGCGCCAGGCCTTGCAAGCAATTCGAGACGATTTGGGCGCATCATCGATGGCTTCCACATGCTTGCTTCCGCCTTGACGAGCCGATTGAATGAACTCCTCTGCCTGAGAAATTGCGGAGGTCTTGCGCGGATTACGGAACTCAACGAGCCAAGGCCAAGGCCTGCTCTGACACCGAGCACTGCCTGAGAAAAACGGCCACTCACGGACTTTACGACTAAAAACTTGCTGCCAAGCTCCGGGCAAAGCACGTTGCCTCAAGGCCTGTCAGAACTCGCAACAGCTCAAAACTGGTGCTTTGCAAGGTGATCGGATCAAGCTGTGCCTCCACCTCACCCTCGACCAGTGCGACCGCTTTGTCAGCACGAGCCTGCAGTGCCGGCATCGCTCGCGATTCGGTGCATCTGAAAGCACTTGGGCTTTGGCTTTCACTGTTGCTTCCTGTTCTTCCAGCTGCCTCAGACAGCAGCTCAGCTGCGCTCTGACGAGAGCTGATGAGAGTCTCCACTGCTTGCTGCGGTCCACACTCAACCCGTTCTGCAGCACTCTGTCGCAGAAATTGGCTTTCCATCAGACCCTGTGAAGCCTTTCGAATGTCAAGGGATGCCAGAGTCGCTGGGATGCCGAGTGAGCTGAGGCCCAGACAGCCTGTTGCACGGCGAGCTCCTCTGCGCCCCTAGCTTCCGATCTGGCCAGGGCTGCCACAGCCTATCAGATGCTCAGACGAGGCCCAGCACTGTTTCAGTCCTTTCCAAGCCTCTCGTCTGTCGGCTGCCTCGTGCGCCTAGCATGCAGTATGCAGTCAATGCAGCATGGCTCTGGCAATTATGGTGTGCTCCAACCACAGCTGGCCATGGGCGAAGGGCGAAGGCCTGACACGCCTCGACCATCAGCTGCCGGGAGACATGAAGGCGAGCCTGAGACAGCATTGCAGCAGTGCATCAGTCCCGGCTGAAACAGTCATTCCCTCTGCCCACACCTCCAGTGCTTCCCCACGCAGCCCATGCAACCTCGGAAGTTGAGACTGCTGTAGCCAGCGCAATTTGATGTTGGCCAATGTCTGGACAAAGACAGCAGGAGGGAGCGTGAGAGAGTCGTAGGGAAATACAGCGACGCAGGAGCGACAAGACTTCCATCTTCGCAAACCTGAGACTTAGCCTCGTACGCACACATGCGCGTTAAACTCTTTTCCTTTTCTGCAGCGGCGAGTAGTTCCTGCAAGGAACCGGAGGGGCAGAAGCTCAGCGATGATCTGTGTTGGTGCACAAGTCATGCGACCTCTGCGGCTTTGGAGCGCACCAACAGAGCTGCCTGACTGAGACATGGAGCGTCTTGTTACGGTCTTTCTTTGCATGACGCTTGCCGTAGGCTGCTGACATCACACTCCTCGAACTCTCTCGCAACTCTGCCTGAGATTGCAGCATATTGAAGCTTGAGGCACACACACACACACACGCACACGGTAAACTCGGAGAAACTAAGCTTAAATCGCTCTGCATGAGCATGCTCACTGCGCAGCTCCGCCAAACACTTGTCCTAAGTCGAAAACAGCTTCAACTTCCAGCAGTTCACTGCACGTCTGTTGCTTGGCCCAGCGCAGAGGAGTCTTCAGCCTGAAAATCAAGCTCTGGCGCTTGTTGAACTGTGGCCTGTGCATTGCTGCTTGTCCCTGTGGCGAGATCCTGGCATCCTGCATCTGTCTTCGAAGGATGGTTTCAGCTTCGAGGAGATCTTTAACCTGGAACAAACAAGGAAGCTCCGAAGCCGGCTACAGGGCGACCAAGATGGAAGGACGCCTCCTCACGGCGATGCTTCTCGATCATGGACAAATGCTGCAAGGCCTGTTGCACAGCATCGCGCAGAGTGCTTCACCGGGTTGCACAATGAGGCCTCATCCTTCCAGTTTGCTGCTTTCGCAAGGGAAGACTTTGCTGCTGCCTGTGGCAGAAGCACGGCAGTCAGAGCAGCATGATCTGGGGCAGCCGGAGTTGCAAAGATTCCCGCACATCAGTGCTTTTTCAGATTCAAGCGAAGGTCCTCTCTTGAGATCTTGTCGCGTCTGAGCACGTGGACATGCAGCATCCTTGCATCGTCTTGTCAGTTCAGGGCGCAAGCCAAAGCCACACCAACGTGCTGAGCTGCGCTGAGCTGCAGGGGTGGGCCTCCAGCCAGCAAACACAGACAGCGGTGTGTTGCCCTCGGAACAGCACTGGAAGAGATTCCGAAGCTTGCTTGCGGAGTTGCCTGCCCTCAGCTTCAGAATGAGACGGTCCAGGTGCTACGTCCCTGGCAGGTGGCGGGAACATGCTGAAAGCCCCTCGAAGCGTGCAGCTTTGCGGCAAACACAACCCGAAGTTGAAATTTTATGTGCGCTGTTAAGGGCTTCTGCATGAAGCTGCCGACCTGCCTTCGAGACCTTGACGTTCTCGATCCCCTTCTTGGCCTTCACACGACACGGCGAACACATGGGTGAACCATGGCCCATGGCTGGAGAGCCGACGTGCGGGGGCCGTGCGCCCGCGCGGAGGTCGGGCCGCGCCTTGAACTCTTCCACTGCAGCATCGGCGTCGGCTTTCGGGACCTCTGCGGCCGCTGATTGCAATTGCGTGTGCCTTCACCGACTACACACGCAAACGTCGAGCCGCCTTCGGGCTGATGGATGCAGCAGTGTTGTGCCACAGATAGAAGAGGCCACCCAGGAACACCGCATCTTGAGGCACGAAGTAGATCAGCCTGGGGGTGTCGACCACCGTCCACTTTCGTGGCTTGCCACATGCTGACACGATGGCGAACTCGTACAAAACAACAGATAGATCAGATCTGAAAGCCATGGAATGGTTGTATTGGCTTTTGCATGACAGGTTGACACACTGCACCACTTGCAAAGCCCAGCAGCGCCGCAGTGATGCACTGCAAGACCAGGCCTCGTGTGCTCTGCAGAACAACGACACATCATCCCCATCATGGGACAATGCAGTCTGACAGAGGCAAAATAAAAGGAGGCTTCCAGGAAGCCGGCAGAGCAAGTCCAGCGGCTAGAAGCTAGAATTCTAGAATATGCTAGAAATGGTTTCCCGTGCTGCCAGTACCAAAAGCTTAAGAGTGCCGCGAATGCCAAGCGCAGCTGAGCCGCCATCTCCACGGATGGACAGCGGACGCGGAGATGAGACCTGCTGATGCCCGGGCATCTCATCGCAGCATGGGGCAAGGATCTGCAAAGCGCTGCGGACAGGCGGACAGCCTGCGCAGCGAAGGTTCGTGCGTTGAACTTGGCGAAGGGCGTCGCAGCGGAGACTCCAATCCTCCTGGCAGCCTGAATTTTTCACCACAGACCACATTCCGGAACAAGTCCCCAGTGCACTCGTGCGGCCGGGGTGCGGCGAGTCGTCCGAGGAGCATCTTTCGCAGTGGAACACTTGAGGACACTGCACGCTAAAGCTACCAAAGCCTTCAAAAAGGATGCTCGGACCACAGGAAATGCGGCAGAAAAAGGTTCTGCAGGAGGGCAAGCTTTAGTTTTGAGCCAAGTGGAGAGTCCGCCGTGCCTTCATCTCAGAAAGTTGCGATGCCAAAGCATGTTCCGTGCCTGACCACAGCGAACCCTCGCCGACAAGGACAGGAAGCGCCGAGGGCAAGCAAATCCACTAAGGCAAGGGCAACATGCAGTCTCTATGTGAGCTTGGACCGTCAGTCTGAGATGCTCCTCCCGCAGGACGACCTCATGCAAGGCAGGCGCTTGGTACTTGCAAGCTACAGGGTCTTCAAAAGTATGCTTTGGCCTCTTTGAGGTCCATGGAATCCCAGCCCGCCGGAGCCTTGGGCATGAGGCCAGCCCAGCACAAGACACTCGGGACTCCACGAGCTTGCGAGCTCTGGCCTCCCCATCCGGCCAGTCGGGATTCTTCATGAGAGGAGAGGTCCTGTCAGCAGAAACCTTTAGACCAGTGCGCAATTCAGTCGTGATGCCACAGTCACTCGCGACCATTTCTGCGGAAGGTGGAGTGGCAGGACCAGCTGTGTGCACAGGAGGCCACAATCCCTACGGCTGTATCCGCTTAAAACCCACGTCTTGAACGTGACGTAAACATGCAGATACAGAAAATGGAAGAATCATTGCTCGGCCCCTGCCCCAAACAAAAACAGAGGTCATACAGCCATGACTAAGAAATGCTGGCGATGGCCCACAAGGAAAGTGGTACAGGTTCCGACAGCCGAGATCTGCGCTGATTTCGGCGACGCGTGAAACCGATGAGTGCTGCGCTGCACTTGCATCAAAGGCCGCCCAAATTCGGAGTCGAGTGAGCACTGGGACTCGTGCTCTGAAGTTCGGACCCCACTTCGGACGTGGAAAGTGACAAGCTCCGCAACGTTATCCGCAGGCTGAGCTCCAGAGTTTCGAGCCTGTTCAGCAGACTTCACTGCAGCTTCCGTTCCGTGGGCCCTGCCTTTGGAAACACTCAGGATCCGGCACCACGCTGGTGCCTGGAGGCGCATGCGCAGGCTGTGCATAGAGAGAGATGCCACTGCTTCCACTGCAAAGGCCGGCCGAGCCTTCCTTCCCATCCGGATCAAGGACCAAGGCTTTGTCCAGTTGCCTCGCTGAGATGGCGTACAGTGGTGCCATGCATTGAAGTGAGTACACTAGGTCACTAAGCGCCCGGACCACTTGCCACTGTCCACCAGATCCTGTCATTAAGACGAGCACCGAAACGCACCGGGCATCCACTTCCGACTACGGGGAAATGCATGCGAGTCCTTAAGACAGATGGGACTCTTCAGCTGCGCGAGGGACTTCTGATTTGGACCTGGGTTGAAAAGGATGGAGGTCGGGTTCGTGTTGGTAGGAGTGGTGGAGCTCTCTGCGAGTTCTGGGGTCCTGGCGCCGTATTCCAAGCGAGATCTCCAACTGCGCCTCAGGAATCTAAGGAGGATCCGTTCATGACAGATGATCTCTGATCTCTAGGTGCCCACGTTGTCCAGATCCCGAATGGGGAAAGAGAAAGGTTGGTGCCACCGCCTCGGCACTCTGTGGCTTCACGGTGATAGAACGTCATGTCCTGCAGCATCCTTTGATCCTCCTCCCCGAGTGGCAGGCGTTGTGAAAGACGGTCGAGCTTGCACCACTGACGCAACCTGTCACAGTCGGACAATCAACTTGAGCCACCGAAAGGCTTTCCTGCCGAACTGAACACAACAATCTGAGCGAAGATGACCGAGTCGTTGGTGGCCCACCTGCTCCTTGCTGAGTCCAGATATCTTCATGATTTCCTCAATGGACTTGCCCTGCGATCAAGATTTGACAACAACACTGACACTTCTGATGTCTGCGGTACTTCTAGACGCAGAGTCTGGCCTGGGAATTTTGCAGGTGTTCCACAAGTCTTTGGGCGGAGGCAGTCAGCGCAGAGCCGTAGGTGGTCGCCTCTAGAGCTCACACCGTCTCTTTCGATTATGCAGCTTGGCGAAGCAGCTCGCCACAACTGCAAACAGCAGAGGGCCTTGTACGTGGCACCTCTGCTCTTATGAGTGTTCCCTTCGAGCTTGAAGGTGATGGTGGCTCCTTGCGCCTCACAGCCCAGTGCTGTCCGATTTCCGTGGTTTGCAGAACGGAAAGGCGCCTGCTTCTGCTGCAAACCACGCAAGCTCCGCAAATCGATAAACACGAAAGCTTCCGCATCTGCCTTTGCTTCAACTGTGGAGTAAAGGTAGTGATACTGTGGAAGCTGGAAGCTCTACCACACATCCGGCATATCCTAAGGCTCGTTCTTTTCCCATAGGCTTTGGAACGTCTTGTCGATGTGTCCTTCGAAGACTTTGGCACACATGGTTCGGTATGCGATGCCGGTGCCGGCCGACACTTCCCCAGAGAGCCTGAGATCATAGAACCGAGCTTGGATGTAAACCTTGGTGCTGGCATAGGGAATCGTGACTGCGTTCCTTGCTTCGCGTGTGTCTCATGTGTTCCTCGCTTTTGTGCTTTTGCGGTGGGGGGCCTGGCCTCCCCATGCGGATGCGAGTGATCCTGCGAGGTGTCCTGGGAAGCGGTGCCTGGCTCTGGCTGCGCATCTCTCACTTTGCGTGTGGACAGAGGCCACCTGAGACAGGCAAAAAGGCGGGCCGAACCACCCATCGCCAAGAGGAGAGCTTCCCCCACAGTAACCCTCAGGTCGAGGCCACTGGCTTGGAGAATTCAGCAGGTCCTCGACTTTGAGCCCGGCGACGTGGCCAAGATGGTCATCTGTGCCTCGAGCACAAGCCGCACATGTGCGATTTCGCTCAGAGTGATGAATCCTAGCGCTAACCGACCCTCTCTTCGGGCAAGAGTCCTGGCCCGATGTCTGCATCATAGACATCGACCTTCACGAACTGGCTTGGCGTGTACACGAAGAAGTCTTCGCAGCCTCGGAGTTGAAGCTCTAGCCTCTAGCGACCCAGAACCGCAACCAGCCTGGACAGCGGGCCTGCGTCACCCCACTTTGGGTTCCGTGTCCGTGTCTTCTTGGGAGTGTGCCAGAGACGCGAGCCCAAATGCACCGACACCTCAGTCCCACTGTACAGGGGTCAGGTCAAGTGGCAGTGCACCCTGACTAAGAACAATCACTTGTCTCCAGGCAAGAAGCATAGGGATCCGAGGTGCCCTTGAAACCGAAATAGTTCCAGTCGGAACCTCTCAAGTTTCGGGCCTCTCTCACACAGAGGCGGACGATGCACTCGGGATGGGGGAATTGGAGCACTTCCAGGTCTACGTCGGCAGAGGAGTCCATCCAGTGGACGAATAGCAAGTTTGGGACCACCAGTAGCTCGGATATCTGGTCCGCGACAACCTGGCGCATCACCCGCGAGAGCACGTCAAGCTGCAAGGCCCCCAAGAGGCCACGGAAGTTCCAGTTCAAATTCGGCGGAGACATCATAGTGATCTGCAGCCCTCCCATGCTCGGGAAGTGGTGCAGTAAAGGCCGCAGCTGCAATCGAACCGTCCCATCGATTCGTATCTTTTCCAGACCGATTTCAATTCCCTGGACTTCGAGCACTACCTCGGCGTTGCACTTCCAAAGAAGTTTCACGTCGAGCTCCAGTCCATCGTATTGGTTCTGCTTCCCATGGGCGACACCCACCGGGCCCAGCAAGGGATGCTGATTTCCGAAGTCTAGCTTCTTGAAGTAGATCCCACTCAGAACTGCAGGCACAGCAGCCTGCAGTTTGGGCTGAAGCTCCTCCTTGATAATTGCAGTACAAGCCTTGCTCAGCTTTGGCCAAAGCTTCTGAACCATGAAGTTCAACCAGCCGAGCTCCACTCCTTGTGGCCCACGCTTGGCTTTGGTACGCTCTAGGATAAAGCGCCGCGACTCGTTCAGCAAAGCCGACTCAACATTGTCTTCTTTTCTTAAGCTCCTCCGTATCGGTGCTGCATCACTTCTGCTGCAGCCACACTGGCCCATGGCTAAATTGCCATGGCCGCCGTTTCTTCCAGGGGACACATACACATGGCCCGCAACAGCATCCTGGCGAGCGAAAAGGACCGGCACTCACACAAAAGGATGATGCCAAGAGAGCTCATGGTGGCTTACTTGCATACGGCTACATTACTTGGTAAACGATACTCAAGGCAGTTGCCGCGGTACGTGATGGCACGAATAGCTTGGTCGTCGGAGCCTGCCTATGGCCTGGCAAGAACTTATGTCCTTCATGTACGAAGCTGAGCCAAAGGCTGTGGGGTCATCGAAGCTGGATGCCACGTGAGCCAGGTCCACACAAGCAATTCGGAACTATACAACGTACAAACACTGCAAAAAGAGGCCATTCCGTCTGCCAGTCCTGTTGGCTGCCATTGCCGGACAATCTTTAGGACTCACTATATGTGCAGGTCTTGTACTCCGAAAATGCCTTGGCATTGGTCATCAGGATGTGTCGGCAAGTCTGCAGTCTGTGGGCAAGGCAGCCATGATTTCTGTTTCGAGCCATCCCGATGTCACCAAGCAATCAAGCAGTGTACGTAGCTTTGCCTGTAGCGTGTGGTAGAGGCCAGACCTGCATCGTGCCATTAATCTTCGGTCTGCGAGGAAAACTATCGAGTGAAACGCTGCAGAACCTACTCGCTGGTCGAGAGAGGTCTTTGCAACTCTCAGAACGGCATGCTCCATCAAAGCAGATCATCAGCACGCAGTCGCGAATCCGCGGTCCCACCTGACGACTGCCGCGCTCGTGCGGATTTCGGGTGCCGAGGTAGCACGGCGCACGCAAGGCGGAGCTGCTCCAAGAAGACGAATGTCAGGGTGCAGTACCTGCGAGGCGAACTAAGGGACACAGTTGTGGCGAGAGGTATGCCGAGGCATGTTTACCAAGGCGGCACGGTCCAAAGCGCACATAGTTTGCCGCAGCCCCCTTGTAAAGGCCGAACCTAGCATGGCTCACGAAGGTTGGGATGAGTGGGCACGACAGTCTCGGAACATCCAGAAGAGACACACTAATACAACGAAGGTGACCGGACCACTTTTGCGCAAGCAATGGACTTTTTCAACCAAGCCTGTTCACTTGTCTGGCACATACTGATCCGAACGCTGGAAACCATTGTCCAGCATGGACTTTACCATGGCTTCTACCTGTTCCTTTGCCGTTTTGAAGCATATTCCAAGAAGCCGCTCCGCTGGCGAGACATCGTAAAGGACAGGCAGGGGCGGCGCTGGCCCCATCACAGCTGGTCCCAGTTCCGGTGACAACTCCGACGGTACGTTTACCTGCAAGGCTCCTGGGAGTGCTTCCCGAACATACTCGGCCACAGCTGTGAAATGAGGGGAACCACCAATCAAAAGGAATCGCTGTCCGCCGAGATCATTACGCGCTGCCTCGATGTGAGCCTTCGCCACGTCACGAACATCAACAACTGTCTTGCACGCGTTCTCGATCACTTTGAGACTTCCGTCCATATAGCCGACCAAGCTACTTGCAGAGGTGTTCATGTGAGGCTGGCCGGGCAGCATAGGGCCCCAGATCAGCGTCGGTGTCAGAACTGTAAGCTCAAAGGGGCATCCGGATTCTTTGCTCATGCTCCAAGCCAACTGTTCGGCCAGTAACTTCGACAGGCAATACCAGTTTTGCTTTTCCCGCAGTACGTCCTCGGGTGAGAAATCCTCAGAGGTGTAGACATGATCTGCAGGCAGGCTTCCATAATTAGTATACACGCTGGCCGTGGAAGAGGTGAGCGCAACCTTCTTCACCCCCAGTCTGCGACAAGAGTTCAAGACGTTTCGTGTTCCTTCCACTGCTGGTGTGACAAGCTTCTCTTCAGATCCACCCTTCATGTAGAACGGAGATGCAGTGTGCAAAACACAGCTGCAGCCTCGAATGGCATCATCGAAGGCCCCTGGAGTGAGAAGGTCGACTCCATCCAGAATCGTGAGACGCTCAGATCCAGGAAGGCGCTTCAGGTACGCAGCCTTTTCTGCACTGCGAGTGGTCGTTCGTACTGTGTAACCCTCCTCGAGCAACAGCTTCACGCACCAAGATCCCAGAAAACCGGATCCTCCTGTAACACACCAAGGAGGATCGGACGCAGACATCACGTGATGTGTCAAGGCGGACAGTCTGTTCGAGGCGGCACTCATTCGTTTCGAGCTGGACCAAGACTGCTGGCTGGAGCAAACGAACGCTGACATGTACTGCCTGCCAGTGGCGCATCCTGCGGCCCGCTAAGCTCCTGACACACCTTCTGCCTGCAGCATTTGCTTCAAACAGTCCACGGGCCCAGAATAAAGAAGTCCGCTGCCACACTCTTTGTGTGGCTGATTCATCAACCTGGTTCAGCTTACAACTCAATTGCCCAGGCACTTCCGTCAACCGAATTACAACATGATGTCCTGCCTCACCGCTACAATATCAAAAGGCTGCATGGCCATGGTAACGGCAATGCCAGACCTCGAGACGACAATCATGCAGACGTTTGGGCGCGCAGGGTCGTTGTCATGTTCCCTGGCACCTGACGTGTTCGCATCGTTGCAAATCCTTGTCATACTTTCCGTGAAGAGTTGTGCTTGAGGTGAGTGTCAGGCATCACTTCAGACCGACCATTCAAAAAAGCGTCTCCAATCAGGCATAGGAAGCACAGGCACAGCTCAAGACAGTTGGGAACACGGCAAGAGCGGCTGGAGACATTCACATTGCAACCCCCGCAGATCCGGGTTTAAGAGCAAACGTTGCTCATCTGTCGGCGGACTCAACATCATTCAACATCCAGAAACACAAACAGTGATGCTAAGCGCGGAACCGACCTCTCAGTTCCTGATTCTGCAACCACTTTGTGTTCGCTTGGTGCCCCGAGGCCCCCGGCAAGAGACTAGCAACGAAGTGAATGGCGACGCCATCCTTCACCTGCCAAAGAAACGATTCGATAGAAACGCAACACCAGGTGCAAAAAGGACATCTTCGCACCTGCACGTATCTGAGAATACAATCCTTGCTGATGTCGTATGTGGACAGCTGCACCTGCCAACTTCACGACTGAACGCGCTGCTCAGCGAAAGCAACTCTGAAAGGTTCGGCACCGATGTGGCAGCAGCTACACGGGGCCTCCAAAGCGGAAGCGGATCTTTGGTGGCAGTGCGTGCTCGTTCACAGGGAGAAGCCCTGCCCCGAGGTCCAGGCACAAATGCCGAAAGGCCGCGGTAGTAGCCACGAAAGCCCTCGGGCAAGCCAGGAGGAGGGCACCAAGAAAACTGCCTGCAGCCCAGCCGACCTGGAGCTGGCCAATTTCAATGAAGGCTTTCCTGAACACGACGCCAAATCAGTTCCAATTCGGCTTCAGATGTCCCATGAAACTGGCAGTCTCAGTATCGTGGGTCCTGAGCGACAAATGGCCATGCTGATGAAGCACATCCTCGCTTCCTGCTGCTTGAAATCTTGACTTGAGCAGGAAGAAGGGGTTCGACACTATGGCCGCCAGTGAGCCAGATGCTGCACCCAGAAGCATCGAGGAGAGGCTGTCCGTCGCCGAGGCTCCAGGCTTCACACCAAAGAGCTGTTTCAGGGAGCCGTAAGCACCGAAACGGCAGCCGACATTGCTGAATTGCAACAAATACGCTGCGCCGAGGCCACGCTGCAAGCCACGGAGGCCTTCCTTTCGGGCGATACGAAGTAGCGCCTGGCCGATCCCTGTGTAGGCCTTGCCACCTGCAGCTGCGAGTTCGCCTTGCAGCTGCAGGCGTGTTTTGACCACGTCAATCGGGTTGGTCAAGGTGATGGCACCACAAGCCGCTAACCCAGCAAGGACAAACTCCGCCCCTTGGCTGCGACTCCCGGCCATATCCAAAGGTGTATGTTAGTATCTGTGCCACAGACTGACTTGCACAGGCTAGGATAGGTGATGAAGCTTCACCGGCAACACTTCTTGCTTCCAAAATTCCAAAGCATGGATGCAAACGACTGTGAGCACATGAGATTGTTTGTGCTTCAACGATGCAGATCTCTTCTAGGTTTCAGAAGCTGGGCTCGCAAGCGACCGCTTCGCCGTGCAGCAATCGCATGGAAAGGTTCTGAGAACGTATCAGTCGTTCAACTGTTGTCTTTCTGTGGCTTTTTCCAGCAACCCTTGCTGCGCACACTGCCAGTTGCAGTGGCATCCCACGGACACTGTCCACCCGGCAAGCGTCACTCCTTGCTGCGAAAGTCGCTGTACATCCAAACATTGGCAGGTGAAGCGCTCTTGAAAGCAGCGCTGCCTGCGACGTGTGCCTGTCACTGACACAAGTGTACCGGCGACACTGGCCCTTCTGTCGTTCTGGAAAGACATTCAATGAGGCGCACATGCCGTGAGTCATGGCACTTGCAGATGCGTGGGTAACACAATGTGAGATGCACACTTCGGTTTCTTATCACTGCGAATCTTTGCATGTATTCTCTCTCTGGAACACGCCAGCATGAGCCGTACGCATGCACAACACCATCTTTACGGCAACAAGTAGTGACAATCACAAGCCGTGCCTCCAAGACAAAGAAACAACTCCTGTAGAATTCGTGAGACAAGTTTGGCCTTTGTCTGTTGCCAAGACGGTTGCCTGAATTTATGTGACAGGGCACACAGTGTGCCGCCTGCCAGCAGTAACGAAGCTTCGCATGCAGCAGATCGCACAGAGCAGATCCAGCCATGGGGTCAGGAAATCATCATCCGGGAATTTCGCTGTACCCGTGTACCCATTGCTCGTTAAGCTCCAGTAGCTGTGTATGCCCGCAGACTGGAACATCGGGGTGCTGAACAGTCCAGTGGCAAGAAGCGATAGCTTTCACAGCACGGTATTGCAATGAGTTTAAAAGGCAGCTGAGGACGACCTCAGAAACTCCTTCTCTGTACAGGAGTATAGAGGGTAGCTAGCTCCGTAGTGAAGCGCACCCCCATCGTAGTCACTGTAGTCTGAAGCGACAACTGCTCATCTGAAGCAACTTTCAAAGGCTGCTAGCTGCTAGCGCAGCTGGACTATACAATCACGGTGTGGCGGCGTCGCCGGTGTTGCCACGAGCCTACGACTCTGAAGCACCAAGATTCTCCGCGGATGACCGGCTGACATGCCCCGTATTGCCTGCAAAGCTCCTCGCTGTACACATCGTCGGGATCTTCGGTGTCAGAGTCCGTTGGGAACCTTCGCCTAGTATCGAAACACTCGGAAGGTTCATAAGAATCAGGAGCTGTAGAACATTGACAAGGTTAGGACGCCGAGAGCCAACTACTCGCGAACTGGCACATAGGTAGCTTACAGATGTGAAGCAAGCAGCTTGGTTGGAGCCTCAACTCCGTGACGGCAGACCGGAAACTGGGTGATCCAGGCTCTGAATTGCCACTGTGGTCCAAACTCTCTCTACATCGCTCAGCCTGATCTCTCCTCAAGGGTTGAACAGCCCCATCCCTGGACGAAACATGCAATCGGGGGGCAAGCACGGCATGGATTTGGAGAGGCTGCCACCATCGATCAAGGACAGGCAGGAAGTCGACTTCGTCAGCAGCTGCACATGTCCATCGAAGCCCTCCGGACCTCTCGCCACAGGGCTTGCCTGCCGAGACCTCAGCACAGCGACGCACAGCGACGCAGCAGGGCATGCCTTCCAAAAGCACCGACACCTAGCCGAAAGCTCCTGTAGGGAGTGTTTCGGACTCAGCCGACGACTGGTTATGCATCAGCTTGTACACACCGGCAACCTGACGAAAAGAAGTCCAATTCACACCCTTACCCAGAAACAACATCCATATCTGCTTATGCCAAGAGCACCCCTGCCAAGGCAGCGCAACCAACGAGGCCGACGGCCGATGCTGATGCTGCGACAGCATGCAAGACCTTTCAATACGAGCTGATGCTCAGCGATGCGCACCCTCCCACCGAATGCCTAGGATGGGCCAACTACGAGTAGATACCAGTAGCAGCTCGGTACTTGTGCAGCATGTGCTGTTGAAGCGAGCTTCTCACATCAAAAGTGGTTTCCGAGCTCTGCACCGGTGCAAGACCAGCTTGCGCACTTGCTGCACCGACAGCTGCAGTAGCTGCTACACATGCACCCACGACCTCGCAAGTCGCAAAACGCATCCTGGGCACAGGCAAAGCAGAAAAATCTGAGCATCAAGCCCCCACTGGCAGAGCCGTGTCCGTTGCAGCCTGCCACGCAGAGGCTGGATTCAGCGGAGTGCAGGGCATAGGCTCTGCTCACAGTTTAGGGAGAGTTCTCAAGGGTCTCAGACCGAGACCAAAGCGACTGTTTCGTCGTCTGGATTTATCCTGCGTGCTCGGTAAGAGCCTGCTCGCAACGAATCAATCAACGTCGTAACGTTATTAGATGACGTTTGTGACGCAGTCCTCGTGCGGGCCCCAAGTCCATTCGCGAAATCAGCCGCGAAGTGCTGGCAGTTCGCACCAATGAAGCTGTAGCGCCTCGAGAAAGATAAAGACTCAGGAAGCCTGATCAGGCCGTATCCAATCTTCACGACAGATAGCAGTCTTACTAAGATCATGTAGAAAAACGTACAGTAGCTGTTTGGTTTTTCAGGGCTCGAGGCCTCAGCTTCATCAAGCCTTCTCAAAGCCAAACCCAACGTGACAACAGCTTGCCGGGATGGCAAAGTGCCATCGCTTGTTGAACGTAGCCCTTGCACCAACCACCCTTTTCAAGGTGCGAACTTGTAGCGGGCAAATGCTTGAACTGCAAGAACCTGCAAATCGGTGGGGAGACAGGCGACATGACAAACTGACAACGATGCTGCCGTTGCTGCCTGTAGCTGCAGCAGATTCAAGCGTCGGCTCAGGCCGAGGCTGTGAACCTGAAGAATGACACTGAAGCTTACGCCTCTGCTGGTGCGAAGTTAAGGAACTAACTACGTTTTCTTGCATAAGCACATGAACCTGCATCATCCCGACAAAACTTGCCCAGTGGCTGTTCTCCTCTCCAGCTGGAAATCGGGCTTCACGCCTATCCAAACAAGGGCATTACTCACAAGCTCGCCAACGTTTCCATGTCCAGTCCTGTGATTGCTTCGGTACATACAACCTGATGAGCCGAGCTTCTCAGCATGAGAAAAGGCTCCGCACGGTCAAGCAGCAATTCGTAGACCAAAAACAGCTGTGAGGAGGACACCTGACCAACAAACCAAGGATGCCATGAACTGCTGGAGAACGGCCATTGGCTAGCTAGGCGATCGGCACTGTTTGGTCACTGACGGCACCTCCATGGAAAAGCAGTCTTGTGCATTGTGAACCTCCGCAAGCGGGGTTCCTATCAAATTAACGAGGCGCTGAACATGTTGCAACCAAGACTCGAAGTCATCGACAACCCTTGCCGTGAAAACTTCACCAAAAGGCTGGAGCACCTCAGGTTGGATGCGGCTGCCATCGTAGTCTTGGTGCGTTGGGCGACGACAGAGCAGCTGCAAGAGTTTTGTTCTTGCTCCCGCTCCAACTGTCCCATACTGTCCTCTGCTGTCCCCGACGGTCCTGCTGTACTAAGGTCTCCTACCGGCTATCTCCTCGGTTGGCTGCAGTCCCCGTCCAAACTCCGCCCAACCCTGCTTCCCCCCATGAACCGGTCACAAACCCCACAAGCCCGCTCAAAAACCAATCAACTAAGATCTGCACGAGGGCCCAGTGTCGCTTCTGTCGCCAGATGAACATGGACCAGTGCCGCTTGGTACGCAGAGTCTGCGGGTTCATGCCTGCAGCATTGGGAAGAGACAAACCACCAGTGCAAACAATTCGGTTGCACCGATGCAAGAGATGCTAGGCCGTGGAAGACCGCCAATCAAACCAGCTCGATGGAAGAAGGCTTCCGACACTAGCTGACTCGCCCTGCAGACCGAAATCAGCTGACGCGTCATCTTGAAACGAAACGTTGCCTCGTGGTTGCTCTCAAACTTCTAACCACGTGACCGATCGATCCCTCTTCTGTGGAATGTGTTTTCTCGAAGAGCCTGCAGATGCAATACGATCTAACTCAAAACTTGCACATCGAGCCTGTACCTTTTTTGAAGGACAGACTACATTGATGTGCTTGGTGCTTTCCAAAGCCCAGCTGTTGAATAGTATGACAATATGTACGAAACTCCGAACTAACAACCTGCTTGACCACGAACTCACGCGGCGGATTCCGAAAATCAATCGCCAACACGACCACCACATCGCTATCGCTGTGTCTGAAAATTAACCCAACCGTGCGAAAGCAGCATAGTTCTCGGCTTCCGGTTCATCAGATTTGTAAGGCAACGGCCTAAAATCATGGCGGTCCGCTCGTGCAGGACGCAAGCTGCAGCCTCGGCAATGGGTATGCATCCATGTCGAAGCGACAACATTGACAGCGCGGAACGAGTTCGGCCTGTGCTCGATTCGCATCATCTTGCTGCCGTTCCGACTGACCTCGAAGCTGCAAACTGGTGCCAAGGTATGAGAGCTGCCACAGATGTTAATAAGTTGAAGCGTTACAGCCACATGGTACCAGTATCACATGCACCGTCCACCAAGATATGCAACTGGAGCGGAAACCTTTACTTGCAGCTGTAAAACAAATACTTTCAAGAATCCTACAAGCGTCCCTGTCAAATCCTGCTTAAGGCAAGTCTTCATGGCGAAAGCTCTGTTGTGTTAACAGTCTTGCTTTGTGCTTTGCTTGGCATTTTTCGCACATGCTACCGGGGCAGCTGCCGGGTCTGCGGACAAGAACCTGCATGAAAGTCTAATCGCCAACGGACCATGAATATGAAGATCGCAAAGGTGGCGGAGCATTTTGCCTCATCAAGGAAAGACCAGTTTACAGCGTTGTGGAGTCCTCAATTTCTGCACGCAGAAATGGAAGCATGGACATGGACGAGAATGGCAAGATGTCCTGCGCTTTCACAGTTCTGCAAGCATGCCTTCGCAATAGCACACAATGACAAACTTCCCACCTGCAGATCCGCACTGAGGCTTCAACCATCCACAACGCTTCAGAGGTGCTGCCGACAGTGGGCAAACTGTTGACTGTCAAATCATGCCCAAATAAACACAAACAAGAACAATCAAAACAAAAACTACTGTTGTCTCAGCGAGGTGCTCGCGCATACAACGCGTTCAACCTTCGTCAGCATGAACACAGTATGTTCGTTTTCCTAATCGTACATTGAAAATACCGCCGATAGCCAACCAATTTCACAAAAACGTGCAAAGTTGGACCATTTAGTGTCATCACTGCGGACACTTCCCATATGCATGCCGCTTGCACTATTTCCTCCAGAAGCTTGAAGCCTTCTCATGACAATCTTGAGAATGCTAGCGGCTGCAAGCGTATTCCCCAGAATGTCCGGGCTGAAGAAACACGGTAAAAAACAAGCAAATCGCGCCGACAACATAAGGGGGGCCGCGGCCATGCAGCTCTGGGCCGTTCACTGGCCCGGGCATATCGCCACAGACGCACCGGAGTAAAAGTCCCTTTTCTGCGGGTCTCGTCGCCGAAAGACCACAACCGCAGATCCAAAGGCTGGCGCGCTGGCTCTGCTTTTCTCTGGCGCAGCTAAAACTGCCTGGGGGCCTCGTCGACCACAGTTGTAGCTCCCTACAGTCAAACCAACAAACAAACAAAAACAGCGGTGAAACATGGCGGCTCGTCGATGGTCATGGACTGACCGTGCCTGCGACGCTGTGCGGTTGGATACTGGGAACTGCGCAATGGCCCCTGGTTTCACCCTCTTCCAAATTGGGGATTCACGCCGGTGTGATCTTCGGCAGCAGTTTGCGGAGTCACAGCTGTTTCTGCAAACTTCGCGCAGTGCTCTTTCCATGGTCCAGGCGCGATTTCGAATTGATCGACGGCTTGGCTTTCAAGTGCGCGCCACATTGTCCAAATCGATCTTGTGGCTTTTGTGGTGCTGGCTTCGGCGTCCGCATTGCCTGCCGGGCGGTCCTTGGCTTGGATTAACCCTTGCCTTGCGAGAGCCGCCATGGTGGAAAGCTGGGCGTGGGCAATTTTGCAATGATCTTCTGTATGCCATTGTTTTGTGGTTCTTCCAAGACCCGCGTGGAAAGCTGGGCCTGCGGTACGCGTCGCGCCAAGGCTGGTTGGCCGGCATGTCTACCTGCATTGCTGGCTGCATTGCGCTCAGACTGTGCTGCCCTTGCTGTGTACTGGGCGACTCAAATCCAGTGTCTCACCTTTCGGCGTGCTTGCTCTTCTTGGGAAGCTTAGTCAAGATCCACGAAAAGGACTGGCAGTCTTTGTTCCGACGCAGCTGATGGTCCAGTATGGCATGTACGATGCAGCTTGCATGCTCCCGGGTGCGAATTGAGCGTCTGCTCTTGCGAGACCCACCATATTGCGTAGCTGGGCCATTTAAGGACGGCCCCAACTGCTCACTGTGCACCCGGCACGTCCCCGGAGAAGGTACGCAATGGCAAGAGTGGCCATGGCGTCGCATACAGTGTACAAGGGGCTGCTCTTTTTCCCGACGTCTTTTTCTAGACCCCGCACTTGGTCTGTCTTGTTTTCGACCCCGATATGTCTTTTTTCCGGCCCCCATCTTTTTTCCAACCCCGGAAGGAGGTTCGGAAAAAGAGCTCCATCTTTTTTTCAGCCCCCACGCTCGCTTTTGAGCAGTCTTTTACCTGGCCCCGAGACATCTCGTAGATGACCCCGGGTCTTTTTTCCAACCCCTTAGGATCTTTTTCTTGGCCTCCACAGTCTTTTTTTGGACCTCCAACAAAAACATCCTTTCCACCACATACACAGCAGAACACACAGGAAAACTGGTTAGAAGGCTTAAAATCAAAAACAAACAACAACGATATCCAACACAGCTGATTTTTTGAAAGGTTTACAATGGAAACACTGTTGCACCTCGCAACCCGAGGAAGTATTAAAATTGCTCTGTGCCGAAAAAACAACAAAACTATTATTTTAACACAGAAAGCAAACGCGAAAATGCTCCAGAAAGCTCAGGCTTCAAAGTTTGCAAATGGAACGGCTGCATTTTCGAAATTTTTGTTCAACGAAAAACGTTCTTGCAACACACAAGGAGAAAACCCCACGAAAACGCATAACAGGCATAAAAGACATGCCCAATCCAAAGCGTATTTTAAAAAATGCATTCATGCCGAAAATGTGCATAAAAATGTTTTTTGACACACAAAAAGAGAAGCCACGCGAAAACGCTTTAGAGGGCCAACAGTGAAAAAACAACAAAGAAGCATAAATGAAATACATCTAATTTCGGAAAGGCTTGCAAATCTACGGCTGCGTTTCTTGTTTCTGTTCGACTGCAAGGAGCTCTTCAATCAACAAAAAAAACGTTCTTTTCAGCACACACAAAGGAGAGAGCCAGACAAAAGCGCTTCACGAGGGCAAAACTGCAAAAAGAAGGACAATTATGCAATTTAACACAGAAATAGAATTTCATTTTGGAAATGTTACAAAGGGGTGCTACCAACTCGCTCTTTTGCTTCGGCTGCGCACTGTTGCTTGGAGGGTGAAATTACAAACAAACATATGTGAAAAACACATATTCGTCACTTACTTCTTAAACGCGTAAAATCATACATCGAGAAAGCAATGCAACATAATCAGCATTTGCAAATAAAAGTGCATTACATTGAGAAAACTTAGACAGATTACACTCAGAACTTGACGACAATTGAAACACAGACCCTTGCAACCTACGTCCTAAGCGCGTAAACCCTTACATAAAAACCAACCAGCAGTAGCATTTGTCCACAAGCTTGCTTTACATAAATGCCTGAAAAAAGGAATAAAACCTGGACAAAATGCACCCAAAATTGAAAGACAATTGGAAACACACATCCTCATGACCTACATCCTAAACCCGTCAACCCGTGCATAAAAAATCAACATAAGTAGTATTGGTCAAAAAACTTTGCCTACACAAATGCCTGGAAAATACGGGCAAAACCTAGACAAAATACACCTAAAACTTGAGATTCTTGGAAACAGAGAGTCTCATGACCTACATCCTAAATGCGTTAGTCCCTACAGAAAACATCAACAGAAGTAGTATTTGTCAAAAAGCTTTACCTACACAAATGCCTGGAAACATTGGCAAAACCTAAACAAAATCAACCTAAAATTTAAAGATGATAATTGGAACCACACAGCCTCATGACCTAAATCCTAAATGCGTAAACCTCTACACAAAAATCAACAGCAGTAGCATTTGTCAACAAGTTTCATTTACATAAATGCTTGGAAAATGGAATAAAACCTGGACAAAATACACCCAAAATTGAAAGACAATTGGAAACACACATCCTCATGACCTACATCCTAAACCCGTCAACCCGTGCATAAAAAATCAACATAAGTAGTATTGGTCAAAAAACTTTGCCTACACAAATGCCTGGAAAATACGGGCAAAACCTAGACAAAATACACCTAAAACTTGAGATTCTTGGAAACAGAGAGTCTCATGACCTACATCCTAAATGTGTTGGCCCCTACAGAAAAAATCAACATAAGTAGTATTTGTCAAAAAGCTTTACCTACACAAATACTTGGAAACATTAGCAAAACCTGACAATATGCACCTAAAATTTAAAGATAATTGGAACCACACAGCCTCATGACCTAAATCCTAAAGGCGTAAACCCCTACATAAAAAATCAAGAGCAGTAGTATTTGTCAACAAGCTTCACTTACATAAATGCCTGGAACAAATAGTGGTAAAGCTCAGACAAAA